CTGAATACTACCGAGAACAGAAAGGGTTTTAGATATCAGCTAGATTAGCCTCCGTAAACGCTGTTTCCAGCAGATCACCCACATAGAAGATAAAGCGAGACTACAATTTCCGCTTCTAACGCAAATCGAATTTTGGGTTATATCCTGTGCAGAAATAATGCCCGAAAAAATGACAAATCTGCTCAATCAAGTGAAGGAATGTTTTTTCTCGGGATGAACTGTAAAGCGATAAATCAACGATTTCTCTTGACGGAAAGTTCATGACAGATAATGTGTGAGAGTATGCCGTGTGCCATTCGACTCGCCTAAGTACGTTTAGAATTCTAATGCCTTTTTGACAAGCTTAATCTTTATATAGATAAACGTGTCGGTAAAATGATCAAATTTGGTTCATCTACCTTTCAAAAGAGTTCTAAGTGTGTGAAAGCATTTATCGAGCGTTTCCTTTATTTAAAGGCCACACAGCCACCATAAGTCACTGAGTTACTGTTCAGCTGGTCACTTCTGTGACGTTAAAGTAGCAATTCTATCATTACAAATAGCCCAGAAGCTGAGGTTCTTTGACACCTGCCGTTTATGGTTGAACGGCAATGAAAACCATGAGAAAGAAATTCTTCGCCAGACCTTATGTGTCTGTCCTGTGATATGCATCCTGATTTTATTCACCCGGGCATTCAAGTCGAGTATTCCTGTGGTCAAATGACTCATGCCATTCGCCTCATCCGCATGCTGATGGTCTGCCCTATTTTCAACCTCACTGATACATGTAGCCAAGCTCTCTGACCTTGAGATCGGACCTCGTATGTCTGGCATTTCTTAGTGTTCCCATTGGTCCTCTGTTGCTTATGCATTCATCTAAGGTTAACGCCCATGCAAAGAATAGACGAACAGTTATTATGCTTCCTGTTTAAGTCACTTCACTTTTCCACTTGTCCCATTCGACTGCCAGTTGATGACAGTTTGAAGGGGGCTACTACTGAACCAGAATGTCATAGACTATATTGACAAGTTGGTGTTTATAAAATTAGTGTATATTTCAACCCATACGGGGTTGGTCGAAGTGTTGTAATACCCAGAAAGTGGTAAACAATAAATTCGCCTCTTCTCCTACTGCCACTGACAAATAACTGTTCAGTCATGTGGGAAACCTTGTTCTCACTCATTCGCCTTACGGTAGTTCAGAAACACCGCCACAAAAATACTTATTAGTGTGCAAATTAGGGACCAAAGAATACTGGTGGACGGGAGACCAAGTAATGTTCAACAGTGATTTAGTCCGGCCAGTGAACCTAATCTATGCAGAAAAGCAATGCAAAGCTGTTTTATCCAGAGTGGGACTGATTAGCAGTACGCATCTCACAAAATTCAGTGTTTTGAATCCGCGACCTTCCAGACAGTGGTTAAACACTTCAACATCTGGCCCCGAGCGTCTGATCAGCAGTGCAATTAAGTTGCACGTAGACAGGACAAAGCAAAATATTATTGTTAGTATTATTATTATAAACGTTGATTACATCCTGCCTGCTTAGAACAAATAATAATGAGATAAATTATCTGCTCCTAACCAGGCCCAATTATATAAAGCACTGTGTTTTCGGATTAAAGGTAAACTTAGGTTTCCATTTTAATAACAATTCCCACAAAAGTTACGTATTTCTCCGATGCTAAAAAACCCTATTTCGTTTGCGTCCAGTAGTCTGCGTGTTTTTGCGAAAAACCAGACATCGTTGAAATGTCTATTTTATGGACAGGAAAGCAAAAGATTTGTAGAACGGATGGGAACGTGTATTTTTCAAACTTTTGCTGAACAATTTAACCCTCATCTAAGAGAGATCTAGCGGATCAATTTGAGAAAATGCATTTTGGAGGTTTTGGGGAAAAACACGAGAAAACGTGGTTTCATTGTTTGTCCAACTGCTGCAGCGTGAGAGTGAGGCCTTGATAGCCGCTTCGAAAAGAACTCAGTTGGGCAAAAGTTTCGAGCGTTGAGAACTATTATCTGAAAATGTCTGGCAAGATTCGAAAGAATGTGATGCTTCTGAGAACTAAAAATGGATAATTGAAACCTTGGTTTAGAAATGTTAAACAAGTGATCGGATTGTAGTTCACCTGGTTAGAATGTATGGTATAGTATCCGTTTTCGACTCAATTACTTTGTGATTCATGAAATTTCATGATCATCACCATCATCACGTCTTCAGTTTCCTTGCCACTCCAATGCTTGGGACGTTGTCGTTAGTTACTGATTACTTCTGGTATTCAGGTACAACTAGATCGCAACCAATAACGTGCATAGGTGCGTTACGCTATTTGTACTCCACAAGCACCCAATCAGAATTACATCTCTCTGTGTTAGAAAGGACTAAAACACATCAACTTTCTGCTATTTCCGAAGAGAAGTATCGTCTTTTATTTGACTGTCTGAATAAAGCAATCTAGCAAGCATTGTCCAGACACTTCCAAATGGATTAGATTGTGGCAGTGGCAGTCCATGAATGGCCTTGAGGTTACGAAGCAATTATAGAGATTTGGTGAGGTAGGTTGCCCATTTCAATCTTCTGCTGGTGTGTCTGGTAAGTAACTGGAATCGGCTGCCTGGTTCACTTTTAGAATCTCCAGCTGAGATTTCCCGCACTCGAAAGTCGCGTGAATATCAATTCAAATCTGGTAATTTGTCTAGCTTTTTGCTCCACGTATCACGCCAGTGCCATCAAGGTCGTGATTCTGTCCAACGTTCCAGAAGATGTAACCCGTAACTGAATTAGTTTTGTGTTTTTATGGTGGCCGAAAGTTAGTCTACGAATTTTTATCATCCTTATATATCTTGAGTGTAACGCAAAGGCTTTCTGTGATTTTTAAACAATCGTCAGTTGGGGTGAGATAATGGGCAGACGTCTTCTTTCTGGCTTTTCACACATCCTTCTTCTTCGAGGTTTATCAGATTATAATGGCGCTCAAACCATGGATAAGTCATTTCGATACTGTCGGTTGTGCCACACAGAAAGTTTAAATTTTTTCAGCTGGCATGTGAAATTGTTACAGCCAATCAACGTCATCCTACATTCTGTGTCTTGACCGAGTGTCTGTTCTCATATGCACAGATCGAGCGATCACTGCTAAAATGCCATGCTTAAAGTTGGACCTGATCCATAATGTACAAATGAACACCAATCGAATCACGGACTGTGCACATAAAAAGTGTTTTAGTGATCAATAATACAGATCACCGTATTGATCAAAAAGACAGTTGTTTTAGTCGTCTATCCGGAATGGTTGGCATAAAAATTCATATCTTTTTGGCACATTATCCACAGCAAACTAATGAAATGAACCCGAATATGGGTTCTGTGTGATGATTCGTTCAGGCATTAGCTTACCAAATTTCATGGTTCCATGTGTTGAGGAGCACACAAAGTAGTGGAATTCCTAATCTCATCTGATCTCATACAGCCGATAAACTACGCACGTCAAAGTACGAGATCAACCGATTTCGGTGAAAGGTTCCGTGAGTGGCGATTGCCAGTTAAAGGATGCCAAGTGTTCGAAAGAATTAAAGGCACACTCTCCCACTTTCTCTCTCTCCCGATTGCAATCTTCAATGCAAAACATGGGCAAGATGGCATTTGGTCGAGACCTGATCTACCCGGGTTAAAAAGCTAGGTTAGTCATCAAAATAGGGGTGAAGAACAGTACAAGTCACCGTTCTAAACTGTATACGATGGAAAGCAGGGGGCGAGCGACAGTTGTCAATTTAGCATGCCAAGTGTCCTTCGAGTGATAGGATAGAAACGCCAGTTTTGTCACGGAAAAAGTAATTCAGGCGATCGCAGGCGTAGCCTTCCAAAGAAACATTTTACTACTTCTAGTGGGGAGAATTGGTGGCGATCTGCGAGTGTACAATGTACATAAAATGGTCTGTCTGGATGTCTGTTACAGCGGTCTCGTTTCAGATGCACATCTGGCATGTTGTTATCCACGGGAGAATAGAAGTTTTGACCAGCTGGATCGAATGGGTAATTAGAAGTCACATCAGAGGGCATATTGAGTGATACGTCCATTTGCAGACCGATTCCGTCAAAAAAAACATGAGAATACGTTCCGTTTTCATTAGCAGTCTGGACAGCTGCTCTACGACAGTAGTAAACAAGTCTGTGAAGCCTACAATCAACAAAATCTTTATGTCTATAAATCGAAACAAGAGGGGACAATAGAGTCTTTTTGAAAATGTTCCATTTTAATAGTGTTTTAGGTCATAGAATTTAAATTTGAACTACCTCAAACGCAGTACCATGGTTCTGGCGGACAGCTACGAGTAGCCTTCTACTACTTGTTGATTAGCTCACTCCAGCTTACTCACTAGTCACTTTTTACTTATGTGAGCACTTGTAGCTCACATGCGGTTAAACCCAGAAAAGACACCCGTCTCTCTATACTCTCCACCCCCGCAAGTTGAGTTGCAACACTGGGGACAAGGATGAGAGGACTGACGCCCATAGAATTGTTACAACAAGTAGGTGGACAGCGGATAGAGCCTGTACAGCAAGAGACGCAGTCCCTAGGGGACATGAAAAGTTGTTTCTTAGATCTGCGGAAAAAGCTAGCAGCTCGATCAACGGATTTCTTGGGATCTCAGATGGGTATGCAAACCAAGCATGGAGGTCAACATATTCGGACAGCATATTTTGGCTGTTAGGAACCTAAGGAAAAAGCTCACAACAAACTTGTGAATCAAAGCCATATGCATGCCAGTAACGAATCACGAGTATGTGTCATCAATTAAACTATCCATAGTTCATTGGGAAAATCGATTGACGAGATGGAGAGAATCTATCGTCTGCACATATATGGTCAGTTTTCTAGTACTAAAACTACTGGTCGTCTGGTGCGAAATTAGCGTCACTTGTAAGCGATGATTCACAGCACTGCGCGCCTCCACATCGAAGGGTGAGTTCAATCACTTGGACATTTTCGAAGGATAAAGAGATTCCACGATGGCTTTT